CTCCAGTAAATAATGAACACCTCTCACAAGCAGACACCCTTTTTAGCGGGCATACATCTTTGCAGCCGGTTGTATAAAAAGTAGTTAAGGCTAACTATAGTTCGTGGAAAAGTTAACCAATCAGAATTGTGCATTTGTGAATTAACTACGAGTAGTTAAAAAGTAGTTACGAGTTTTGTAGTTATGCTTTTTTGTAGCAGAAATTTCCAGCAGAAGATTATATACAATTTTAGCCCTCTGACAGGAATCCAACCTGCGATTCCGGTGCAGCGTTCTAACCAACTGAGCTACAGAGAGACAGTTGTCGAGCTCTAACCAACTGAGCTACAGAGAGACAGTTGTCGAGCTCTAACCAACTGAGCTACAGAGAGACAGTTGTCGAGCTCTAACCAACTGAGCTACAGAGAGACAGTTGTCGAGCTCTAACCAGCTGAGCTACAGAGAGACAGTTGTCGAGCTCTAACCAGCTGAGCTACAGAGAGACAGTTGTCGAGCTCTAACCAACTGAGCTACAGAGAGACAGTTGTCGAGCTCTAACCAACTGAGCTACAGAGAGACAGTTGTCGAGCTCTGACCAACTGAGCTACAGAGAGACAGTTGTCGAGCTCTAACCAACTGAGCTACAGAGAGATAGTTGTCGAGCTCTAACCAACTGCGCCACAGAGAGACAGTTGTAGAGCTCTAACCAACTGAGGTACAGAGAGACAGTTATCAAGCTCTAACCAACTAAGCTACAGAGAGACAGTTATCAAGCTCTAACCAACTGAGGTACAGAGAGACAGTTGTCAAGCTCTAACCAACTGAGCTACAGAGAGACAGTTGTCAAGCTCTAACCAACTGAGCTACAGAGAGACAGTTGTCGAGCTCTAACCAACTGAGCTACAGAGAGACAGTTGTCGAGCTCTAACCAACTGAGCTACAGAGAGACAGTTGTCGAGCTCTAACCAACTGGGCTACAGAGAGACAGTTGTCGAGCTCTAACCAACTGAGCTACAGAGAGACAGTTGTCGAGCTCTAACCAACTGAGCTACAGAGAGACAGTTGTCGAGCTCTAACCAACTGAGCTATAGAGACACAGTTGTCGAGCTCTAACCAACTGAGCTACAGAGAGACAGTTGTCGAGCTCTAACCAACTAAGCTACAGAGAGACAGTTGTCAAGCTCTAACCAACTAAGCTACAGAGAGACAGTTGTCGAGCTCTAACCACAAGGTCATGTATGAATACTAAGGTGATGATGCCATTTGTATCTTATTTTTATCTGACTTTCGCTGACCTATATCTTACTAAAGTGGCAATTGAATGCCATTTCAAGTTATCATAGAGTAATTGACTCGTGTACGCTATAGAGTACCTGTTTTTTCGATTTGATTGAGTAAAATCGGTCCAATGAAGGACCAAGAAAAATTGCACATCCGGCCATATAGGCCGTCTGGCGGGGTATTGGTATAAGTTTTCAATCAGCAATAATCGCGCCTCGGATGAACCTCATCGGCTACGATAATGCCACTGCGCAAAGCTACCGAACAAATATTGACATCAGTATTTATATGTCCGTTTTACCACAACGCATGTGGGAGCATCGTGTGGGCGGACATGCGCAGTGATGACATGCCATAAAAATGTCATGCCTCAAGTCATCACTGCGCATGTCCCCCACACGATGCTCCCACATGCGTTGTGGTAAAACGGACGTATAAATACTGATTTCAATATTTGTTCGGTAGCTTTGCGCAGTGGCATTATCGTAGCCGATGAGGTTCATCCGAGGCGCGATTATTGCTGATTGAAAACTTATACCAATACCCCGCCAGACGGCCTATATGGCCGGATGTGCAATTTTTCTTGGTCCTTCATTGGACCGATTTACCAATCAAATTGAAAAAACAGGTACCCTATAGCGTACACCAGTCAATTACCCCAGTCAATTACTCTATAAATGACCACGGAAATGGCATATAATTGCCACTTTAGTATGATGTAGATCAGTATGAGTGTATGACTTGCAGTTAAAGTCAGTTAAAAATAAGCTAGCTAGAATGGATGCCCCAAATCCTGATTTAAAGCGAATACAAATCTTTATTTTTAGTTCAATATATTGCAGATATACATATATTTTGATGCAAAATTGTCATAAAACATGAAAAACTCTATATACAATGCCAGTAATGTGGCGTGTTTATATATTTCAGTTCACATTTTTCTTATCTTTTGATGCTTTGTGAGATATAAATCATGAACCGATTGTACGAAGGCCGCATATAGTGATTTTTTCAACCGTTGTCAAATGATTGAAAAGTGATAAAACTAGGAAAGTGGATCCCACAAGTAATAAAGAGAAACTTTTATATACTAAAGATTAGTTTGGACTGTACCAGTCAACGACCAATTTATGAAAACTTGAAAAATCACTGTCCGGTGGATAGCGCTATACGGCTTTCGTACAACAGGTCCCAGGATTAATTCATCCCCATCCCGAATAATAACCTACTTAGTATATTATAGGTCAAGACATATTCGGACACTCCATATTGTACCATGTTTTTTTGTTCAAGTATTCTTTACACAACTGTCTTTTGGAGTTGTCTCCCAGAACGAAGAAAAGCTGTTTACATAACACTTCTTACTCCAGTAAATAATGGACAGCTCTCACAAGCAGTCACCCTTTTTAGCGGGCGTACATCTCTGGAGCCCGTTGTATAAAAAGTAGTTAAGGCTAACTATAGTTCGTGGAAAAGTTAACCAATCAGAATTGTGCATTTTAGAATCAACTACGAGCATTGAACTATAAATAAACTGGAAGGCTAACTGCTATGATGAAGGCCTATGATTTGATGAAGCCAAAATAGTTTTTCTGAGTTATGAGCAGAAATACTTGACCCCAAACGTCGGGCAATATATCAAATTGAAGCTATTGAAAATTGCTATTCGCTGTGGAAATTTCAAGACTTCAGCGAAAAGAAAAATATTTAAAAAATACAAAAACAACTGCAAAACGGCAAATTATCGGTAATTATGTTTGTAGTTTTTCAACATTTCCCTTTTAGCTAAAGTCTAGAAATTTCTACACCAAATAGCGTTTTTCAATAGCTTCAATTTGATATATAGCCCAACGTTCAGTGTTGAGTATTTCTGCTCATAACTCAGAAAAACTAAAATGCACTGGCTTCAATTTCCCCCCCTGAGTTAGCCTTCCAGTTTATTTATAGTTCAATGACTACGAGTAGTTAAAAGTAGTTACGAGTTTTGTAGTTATGCTTTTTTGTAGCAGAGATTTCCAGCAGAAGATTATATACAATTTTAGATCTAACCCGGAGCAGTTGCGAAAAATGTAACTATAAACCCTCTGACAGGAATCCAACCTGCGGCCCTAGTTAGGTCTGAAATTGTATATATTCCGCCAGAAATTTCCACCAACAAAAAGCCTTCAAGTGTCAGTAGTATTGAGCCAGATGGCCAAGAAGAGTTTTACACAACCTGGCCCAGATCGTAATGTTACACCCTTATTGTAGTCTCTGTTGAGCAGATGGACGGATGCTACTTCATGAACAGCTTCAATTATACAATTCTCTTCTGTTTTCTCTTAGAATCTTGAGTTGTCTTTGTTTTCTTCACGGCTTCCATCTTTCTTATAGCACTCTTGGCGAGAATCAAGCAAGTCAGCGAATCATTTCTTTGAGAATTCGTGTCAATGTCTAAAATACAGCACACTCCTCTCCTGAATTCGTTTCTAAACCCGAGCCTTGTTCCATATCTATCGACACATTGTCTAAGCTTGAACAGTCGCTGGTCGCCAGCTGACGATATTTTGTCGTCGGATTGCGACATCGCGTGACGTCATCACCGGCATCCACTCGTACATCGTCGGAAATTTCCGAATGTGGATAGTACGCTGGTTTAAATGCACGCGGTTTATTCTCATTTGCTGCGTGTATTAAATTTCTAGTAGACGTTCTACAATGTCGAATTGTATTCGTACTGCTGAGAATTGTCCATCCAAAACTTTTCTGTGTATAAAGTGATGGATCGTCTTGCAGAATTAGAAATCCTTCGCTGTCAGGGCTAGTTTCCAGATCTACATGGTCAGCTAGTCTGCTTCCCAGATCTTCGCGGTTGGTAACAGCATCGTCTTGCACTTCGGCGGAACTTCGGTGACTGTCGGTGCCCGACTCGCTACGATCTATTCCCGAATCATTCAGCGAAGATGGCCGATCAGTTTTGACTCTAACGACCGTGGCTGAATCTTTTCTTCGCTGGTCGCCCAACTCAATCGAGTCTTGGCTTGGCAGGGAGCCGTTCACCGTTTGAAAGCGTCTTAAACATGGGCAGGCATTGAAATAACTCATTTTCACACTGATTATCACAATAAGTCCGACAAATAACACGAACACGATGAACAGAAACAGATACACCAAAAGTTGGTTTTTGTTGAAGCCAACCTTCGTGATCGTATTCGAGTTCTGGATGACGATAATTTGTGTGTTCATCTTGTCGGTGGGGTTTTCTGTCGTGGGTAGGGTTTGCCTTTGGGTTGGTCGGTGCGGAGACAGAGTTGTGTGGCGGGTGGGTTTCTGTCGCTTAGGTAGGGTTAGGTGTAGGGTTGGTTGGTCCAGGGTTGAGGATGATGGTGTAATAGATTGTTTTGTTCGAGGAGTACTTGTTTGCTTGTTATTTGGTGGAGTATATTGGTTTGATTCAGCTGTAAGAATTTGCTTTCCTGTTGGTGATTGTTTCAGTTGAACAGTAGATGTCGATGTAGTAATCTCCTTGAGTTGAACAGTGCTGATTAGCTTGCTTGTTGATGTAGTAGCTTGACTTAAATGAGTACCTAGACTTCTCGTTGCTGGCAAAGATTGCTTCGTTGGAGTAGCAAGTGTTTTCTTGCTTTTTGATGTAGAAGATTGTTTTGGTTTCACGGTAGAGATGTTCTCATTCCTTGTTGCAATAACTCGTTTTGGTTTCCCAGTAAGGATTTGCTTACTGGTTGGTGTCATAGTTTGGTTTAGTTGTCCACCAGTCGTTCGCTTGGTAATTGATGAAATAAACTGACTTGGTTTGACGGTAGAGATTTTCTTTGTCATAGTTCTTATACTCTGACTTGGTTTCGAGCTTTCGGACGTGTTTCTAAGAATTGTAGTGAGTTTACTACTTTGAGTGGTGTGTAGTGTCTGTAGTTTGGATGGTAACGTAATTGGTAGCTTATCTGGTGTGATCGTTGATGGTTGTACAGTGGAGTCTTTTTTGGTACTTTTTGGAATTGCTTTGATAATTTTAGAAGTTGTTAGACTAGGTTGAATCGTTGAGATATTCTGGCAACGCGATCCACAGTAGTCTGTATTGCTGCAGTCACATTGTATCGTGTTGTTATGTTGTTGACAGACGCCGTCATGCAAACAGGGGTTTATAAAACAAAGATCGGTTAAATAACATTCATCTAGAACTACATCTTGACTGATACTGCTCGTAACCTCGATATCTTTACCATTTAACTGTATTTCCCGTACACACCCTTTCATTGACGGTTTGTCTTTTAGACTAGTTCCAATTTTCAACATGGGGTTTTGAAGCAAATTTTTGAATTCCGAACTGTTCATGAACATTTGAGCTGTTTCATTATTGACTCGAATTGCCATGCCTTTTGAGGTCAGATTCAACTGGATACTATGCCAAAGACCATCTGCATAGGTTGTATATTTTGGGGAAATAATTGTATTGATATTTAAGTTTTGAGAAGCACAGCTCAACATCAATTTTCCATGTACCAACTCCAGGAATAACCCGTTGTTTACATTCGAACCGAAGCTATGATGTACTAATACACCAGTATGGTCAAATGTTAGAAATTTGAATTTCAAATTAACATCTTGGCCGTTCACAGCATCGAGTTTTATATATGACGTAGATTTACTTAAGGTGGCTGGTGTGTATTCTGCATCGTCAGCACATTTGGGCCACAGCGTACCCAAGACACGTACATCTTTTGATTTGTTTTTGGTGGCTTGAAATATATTAATTTCATTGAATGTTACATCCTGCATGCAGCCTTTGAAAACGGATCCGGTGAGGGACACCGTTGGTTGTGAGGAGGTTCTGGGGATTCGTAGGGGTATTGATGTGTTTCTAGGGGTGTTTGCGGGGATAGATAGGGGTAATCCTGCAACGGTGATATTCTGGTAATCTTGTACTTGTTCACCAGTTAAGTCTTCCCTTGTGATGTCTAGTATTATCCCCACCTCGTGTTTATTTTTTACTTCAATATCTATCTGATGCCACTGGTCATCGCCAACTATGACGTCTCCAACTATGACGTCATGGGCACCAGGCCTCGCGCCATCTCGGCCAAACACGGACGCGTATCTGTAATAAAAGGTTTAATATAAGTTAAGGTATTGTAGATGGAAATTGACGAGTGGAAATTTATATACATTTATTACACCTAACCAGAAACAGAAGCGAAAAATGCAACTTTAGGTCCCTGGTAGGAATTGAACCTGCGATTCCAGTGCAGCACTCTAACCAACTGAGCTACAGAGAGACAGTTGTCGAGCTCTAACCAACTGAGCTACAGAGAGACAGTTGTCAAGTTCTAACCAACTGAGCTACAGAGAGACAGTTGTCAAGCTCTAACCAACTGAGCTACAGAGAGACAGTTGTCAAGTTCTAACCAACTGAGCTACAGAGAGACAGTTGTCAAGCTCTAACCAACTGAGCTACAGAGAGACAGTTGTCAAGCTCTAACCAACTGAGCTACAGAGAGACAGTTGTCGGGCTCTAACCAACTGAGCTACAGAGAGACAGTTGTCGAGCTCTAACCAACTGAGCTACAGAGAGACAGTTGTCCAGCTCTAACCAACTGAGCTACAGAGAGACGGTTGTCCAGCTCTAACCAACTGAGCTACAGAGAGACATTTGTCAAGCTCTAACCAACTGAGCTACAGAGAGACAGTTGTCGAGCTCTAACCAACTGAGCTACAGAGAGACAGTTGTCGAGCTCTAACCAACTGAGCTACAGAGAGACAGTTGTCGAGCTCTAACCAACTGAGCTACAGAGAGACAGTTGTCGAGTTCTAACCAACTGAGCTACAGAGAGACAGTTGTCGAGCTCTAACCAACTGAGCTACAGAGGGACAGTTGTCGAGCTCTAACCAACTGAGCTACAGAATTGTCCAGCTCTAACCAACTGAGCTACAGAGAGACAGTTGTCAAGCTCTAACCAACTGAGCTACAGAGAGACAGTTGTCGAGCTCTAACCAACTGAGCTACAGAGAGACAGTTGTCGAGCTCTAACCAACTGAGCTACAAAGAGACAGTTGTCAAGCTCTAACCAACTGAGCTACAGAGAAATAGTTGTCGAGCTCTAACCAACTGAGCTACAGAGAGACAGTTGTCAAGCTCTAACCAACTGAGCTACAAAGAGACAGTTGTCAAGCTCTAACCAACTGAGCTACAGAGAAATAGTTGTCGAGCTCTAACCAACTGAGCTACAGAGAGACAGTTGTCAAGCTCTAACCAACTGAGCTACAGAGAGACAGTTGTCAAGCTCTAACCAACTGAGCTACAGAGAGACAGTTGTCAAGCTCTAACCAACTGAGCTACAGAGGGACAGTTGTCAAGCTCTAACCA